TTATGTCTGCATGGAAAATGGCTGTTAATAGGGTGGAAGTGGAACTAGCCACAGAAGAGTCATATTCAAACCTCAAGTCAGCCACTTCAGATCTTCTCAGGTACCTCAAGTTTTAAAATTTCCTTACATGGTAGAGATAAGAAAACAGAGGCTCAGAGGCTGAGGGTCAAATTAACTGGCCCCAAATCCCACACCTGATTAGCTGCAGAGCTGGGTCTCAAGCCCACGTGCCTCTGACCCTTAACCACCTGACTTCAGTGCTGCTAGAATGCAAAATTGCACTCACTTTTACCATGGAGTTTATCAGTTGGCGTTATACTTGTTCACTTAGGTGCCCATCTCATCATACTGTGAGCCCCTGAAGATGGGCACCCTGATTAATAAGAGTTCGGCTGCTAACCAAAAGGTTGGCAGTTCAAATCCACCAGGCGCTCCTTGGAAACCCTGTGGGGCCACCCTATAGGGCCACTATGAATCAGAATCGACTCTGTGGCAATGGGTTTGGTTTTATCCTCTTAGTTCAGTGGTAGGATTCTCGCCTTTCATGTGGGAGACCTGGGTTCAATTCCTGGCCTGTGCACCTCATGGGCGGACACCACCTGTTTGTCAGTGAAGGCTTGTGTGTTGTTGGTATGATGCTGAACAGGTTTCAGCAGAGCTTCCAGAGTAGGAAGAAAGGCCTGGTGATCTACTTCCAAAAATCAGCCAGTGAGAACCCAATATATCACAAAGGTCTGATTTGCAGCTGATCATGGACATGTCACAGGACCAGGCAACATTTGCTTCTGTTATGCATGGGGTTGCCATGAGCCGGGGCCAACTAAACAGCAGTTAACAACAGCATCCCACCAGTTCAGGGTCTAAGGGCTCCCCCCCATCCCATGATGACTACAGGAGAGAAGGAGGGAGATTCAGCCTGAGTCCCAGCTCATCGGTGCCTGGTTGACGGAGCCCAGCAGTGACGAGAAATGTTGCTGCAGGCAGGGCTGGAGGAGACTCCGGGGAAGGCAGGGAGCACCCAGGTGCCCATGGCTCTGGTGGACCGACCGAGGCAGCCGCTGAGTGAGCCAGGCTCTAGTGAACGTCTATACCTGCAAGGCCACCCAGACATCCGTTCTCAGATGCTGTTGCTCAGTGGTAACCACGTGTCAACGTCTAAATGCCTCTAAGGACCCAGCAAAGGGCATGGCAGACACATCAGCTGCACTGTCAAACTAACCCAATTAGCTCTTTAATGAGGAGCCTGGGGAACATTCCCGTAGGCCATGGGCCTGATACCCAAATCACAGGGCTTATGAATGACTAATCTGCTTCAAAGGCTCTCAGTTTTCACAGAACATAGCTGGGACACATCAGAGCATCTTGCTGCCTTTCACCAGTTCTTTCAGAATCAATAGCCGCGTAGCTGTTGGGAAGAAAACAAATGAGGAGGAGCAGGGGCTGCAGGGGGGCCCAATTTGTGGAATTGAATCGATCAGGAAGTGTTTGCATGGATGGGTCGACTGTTCGTCCTGATCAATAAACTCCCTCCGCTGGACAGTATTTTACCTGCCCATGGAGTGGTGTGCAATCATCAAATCCAGACGCAGGGGTGGAACAACCTTTGCCTGATGTTAAGTGGTCAAATAAATGGGCACTTATGCCTAGAGGATGGATGTTTCTGAATGTCCTGTGCAGACAAGGTCCTGAAAGACAAGCCCCCAAGGACCTGGGTTTGATTCTGGCTCTGCCATCTCCAGACAGAGGGTCCTTGGTGAGTCTTGCCACCTCTCAAGACTTCAGTTTTGGCATCTGGATCAATACGGATGGGGCTGGAGGAGGCAGGGTTAAGAGCTGGGCCTCTCAAGGCCTTGAAAGCCCTATAAACTTTTGAGTCTTTGCTTCAGGAACAGCAGGGGGAGTGGGCATTGACAAGCTTTGAACAGCTGGAGGATAGGACAGTTTAGCATTTCAAACACATCACTCAGGACCTTTATCTTAGCACCTCTGTGGGTTGTGAGGATGAAACGGTCAAGAGACGCTGGAAAGCTTACAGCAGCGATGGCTCAGCGCCATTTCCCAGGAAATGGCAGCGAATATTGTCAGGGTGGAGGTGGTTGGAGGTGGGTGAGTGTCTTAGCAGCAGTCCCTCCCATGTGCTAGTACTGAGCCGAGCACATACTCACTGCATCCGCAAGCACCTGGTGAGATGGTGCCATTACCACCTCCATTTCACAGAAGGGGAAACTGAGGCCCAGAGAAGGGCAGTGGCTTACCCACAATGAACTTCTCCATTTGGTTTAATTTAAGAAGCACTCAGTGAGGTTCAAGGCATCATTGGGTGCTGAGGACACAGAAATGAATGAGTCAGAGCCCCACCTGAAGATGACCCCAGTTATTGGCTGGAGGGAAGTGGTTAATATAAATATTAATTATATTTTTATATTTAGCATGAAACCTGGGCCCGGGTGGCACAGGAAGCTGTGAATCTCACATTTACAGAGGAATTCAGAGAAGGGAACCGGGGTGGTGGGGGGCCTTGGAGCCAAGCCAAGCAGGGCCTGGTTGGAGGAACTTGGGAGCATTTAGTCTTGAGATAAGGACATTGGTGATGGGGAGCTGGGGGTAGAGTGGAGGTGCTGAGGAAAGACTTCCAGGAGCTGCCACAGTGGTGGGTCTCAGGGACCAGCCAGGACTGCCAGGAAGACTTGGAGAGGCGATTGGGGTGCTGCAGGCTTCTGACCACAGGGATGGTATCCCCAGCCCTGGTGTGGTGGCAGCGTTAAGTCTCTCTAGAGCTCAATGGCTCCAAAGTCCCCCCAGTAGGGCAGGTCCTCTGCCCCCAAAGAAGGCTTAGAGGACATCTGAACTCTTATCTCAAGCTATCTTGAAGAAGTGTTGTCTGAGTCTGTCTTTCTCTCCTGTTATAGTGCTGGACTCAAGAGAGACAAAAGATCTTCATTTGAGTTGCAGATAGACAGCAGGGAGGACATGGTTTTCTGGTATGGGGAGGGGGCTTCCAGTCGCACTGTCCTCCTGCCAAAGCTGGACTCCAAAAGCATTCATCTCCTGGACTACGTGAGGCTCCTTTGTGGCTGATCTTCCCCTAGAAGCCAACCTATGTGCCCCCTAGATCCCATATCACCTGTTTCAGGTGCAGACCCCAAAGGTGGTCTTCTCTAAAATGGGTCCCAGCTTGCTACCCTCCAGGGAAGACCCTTAACCCTGCCCCTCCTGAAGACAGACTGAAGACATTCCAGTTCTAAGGATGATATTGTTTAGAGCCATCTAGTCTAAAACTCCTCTCTCCCCGCACCCTGCCATTTTTCATATGGGAAACTGAGGCCCCAAAAGGGGAAGTGATTTTCTTAAAGTTCTACCATAAGTTGGAGACAAGTCATCTCATTTCGTCTCTCTTCCTCTCGCTTCTTCTCTACCTTTTCCTTCTAGAGCAAATTTCTGAGCTTCTTGGAGTCTCAATCCCTCCCTGGGAAAATGGGGCTAATTCAAGAGCCTGCCTCCTGGGGTTTGGGGACGATTAAATGAGATAATTTAGTGTAGTACTGGGAGAGGGAGAGAGAGAGAACTATCTGTGATAAAAACAGAATAACCCAGGTCTCCTGACCTGTCTTCCTCAGTTGCCATGGTGATGAAGGGCCTACTGTGTGCCAGGGGTTATCCTAGGATGTGTTTAAAAGGCATGTGTAGCTCACCAGGGGATATTTTGCCCATTATAATTACCTAAAAGAGGAGAGGGTGTTGTGGGCTGATTGTATGTATATGAATTCCTTTCAGGGTAAGTTTTCAACACTGGCGTTGGCACTCCCCAACCGCCCCCCCACAATGCCTCCTTGAGACTCTGCACAGCCTGAGGAGCAAAACTCTCACCCTGGGGCCACCAAGCACCCCCAACCCCCATCAGAAGGATCTGTCTGGACCAGCCACTTGTGAAGAACAGGAAGCAGAATCCTGAGTCCTGTGAGCCTGCCTTGTACTGAGAATGAATCCTTCTCCAATGCCAGGAAACTCTGTAGGGCCCTTACTGCACAGGGTGAGGACCGGAACAGATCCTCCACCAGCCGCTCTCCTCCTGTGAAGCTTGACCCCAGGGCAGCTGGTGCATCCACTTGTACTATTTCCTGGTTTGTTTACTCTCTGACTTCTGACAATGGGATGAAGAGTGAAGGAGGCAGGGTGTGGTCAAGGAAGGCCTCTCTGAGGAGGTAACATTGGAGCTGTGAGAGTCATAGAATCTCAGGGCAGAACAGATCTCAGCCCAGGACTCACCATCTGGAACCTTCCAAAGGCCAAGAGTTGACATGTTCTCGCATAAGGGACAAAACAGGGCAAACATAATGCCAAAGGCAACTGGCACTCAGCCTCAAGCTAAAGGACAGCAGGAGTGGTGAGGACTGTGGCAAACTGAAACACATGTGCCTGTCAGCTGTCAGCTATGCTGATCTTCCAGGCCAGAAGGTGAGCCCAGTGTGGCCTGACCTCCCAAAGTGTCAAGAGAAACAGGAATACAGGTTTTTTTTGTTTTTTGGGGGTTTTTTGACAGGAAGTTCAATTTATTGGTGGGTAATATAGAGATAGGAAGGTCATTTAATTGGTGGGCATAGGTCAAGGGGGGCAGTGTTACCAAGGCCCTCATGAAGGCAGGGCCCGCCACTTATCCAAGGGGCCACGATTGAGGATGTATTTAACTACACAACCTTCTGGGATGAAACCCTTTTCGGCCACCAAGTCTTCAAACTCATCAGCATTAAACTTAGTGAAGCCCTACTTCTTGGAGATGTGGATCTTCTGCCGCCCAGGGAACTTGAACTTGGCCCTACATAGGGCCTCAATCACATGCTCCTTGTTTTGAAGCTTGGTGCGGATGGACATGATGACTTGGCCAATGTGGACCCTGGCCACTGTACCCTTGGGTTTTCCAAAGACATCTCACATACCTGTCTGGAGTCTAGATGAGGGAGAGCAGAGGTCAGCGAGGTCAGAGACATTAAAGAGCAGGAAAGGGCTGTCTCCAGGGTTCCTTAGGGCAACTTGTATGTGCAACAGGCTGGGTACACCACTGAGGAGGCTGCTGCTTGCAGCCGTTGCACACCAGCCCCCACAGGGAAGGAGGACAGTCAGCTTAATTGGCTGTAGAAAGAATACAGGTTTTTATACAAAATATCTTGATTTTTAAGCATCAGAAAAATTCATTCAATATTTAAAAAACACATTATGCAGAAAAAGAAAAGGCATGTCCGTAGGCTGGATACATCCCATAGGCACCAATTCACAACCTGTGACCTAGTCTAACACCTGCATTTTACAGGTGAGGAAACTAAGGCCACTTCCTTCACGGAGGGACTTCAGTGGAGTCTAGTCCAGGAGGAAAGTTGCTGTAGTTCTCACTCTCACTCTCAATCTCTCTGCCTCTTCGAGTCTTGATATCTCATCCCTGCCTCTCACCCTGACCCTCTACCTCCACCTCCTCCTCTCTTTCTCACCTTCCTTCCTTCCCTTCTAGGCTGGTGTTTATTTTCAGAACCTCGGAATCCTTCCCAAGCCTCTGACATTTACTCTTTAGAATGAGAATATTTTCTATTTCTCTTTCCCAGATCGAGGCTGGTGGGTAAGATTTCCCTGGGGATCATGCCTGCCCTGCTGGACGGGAGGTGCTGGGGCACTTTTTAGGCCTTCACTGTGTGCCAGGCCTTTTCTCATGAACTGTCATATTTAATCCATTTAAGAACCTGTGAGATTGGTGTTACCATCTGCACTTGCCACCTGAATAAAGTGAGGCTTCGAACACTTCAGAGCCGTGTCTAAGATCGCACCGCAAGTAAGTGGTAGAGCAGAGATGAAACTCAATCTCTCTGACTCCAGAGTCCCTTTATTTCCTCTGTGCTCTGCCTTCAAAGTCCAAAGTCCAAAGTCCAAAGGATGCATGGAATTTGGGAAATCCAAGAGTTTAGGGGATAGGGCATTC